AGGAGCTGGCGCTGCCCTCAGCGGCGGCCTCGGCCTGTCCTGCTTCCAGCCTGGGCCTGCCCTCCGAAACCAACCCTGGGCGTGTTGGCGTCAATAGAAGCAACATCCGCCTTTGCCGAGAGCTCGGCTGCGTGGTTTTCCTTGTGTGAAACCCCTTACTGAAAATACCGCCCAGAGCATGTATTTAAATGCATTCATCTTGGGGATGCGGAGGAACATTTCTTGAGTAGTTAGCGAGGGGTTGTGGTGATACCTGAGGATGTCGCTCTGAGCCATCGGGGACTGATGAGTGTCTCCTAAAATAAGGATGAAAGTATCCACCCTTAATGGCAAATAGATGATAGGAGAAACATACAAATAAACAGCGTAACACGCAGCCTCTAAAACTACCTGTTCAATTCATGTAAACGGTTTCTTTAGTATCTTGACAACAGCTTGGATCTGCCTTGAGGTGACAGCTCTCAAGGGCAGGCTTCTTGGTATCTTGCCTGTCTGCGGCATGTGTTGCTGTGAGTGTTGTAATTTGTTGTGTCTGTGCGAAGGGAGAACATGGTGGTATATTTCTGAGGAAATGGTGAAAATACAGAGCACAACCTTCCGGTGAGATAAACCAGCGAAGTTAATAGCTTAAGGGCAACATGTGCGAACCAAATTAAATTGTATTTCCTTTGCAGTTTGAAGTGCCCTTCAGTAAGAGCTACCTAGTGAAAAGAACCATTCAAAACCAGCAACAATTCCAGTTGTCTCTGCTTGAGTTTCTATACAGCCACTATGTTGTAGTATCTTAGCAGCTTCAGGAAGTGCTTCTGGTTTGACATTTGGTAGCTATACCTCTTTGGAGGCATGTATGCTGCAAGTCCATTTGGCAGTAACATAGTATTGAAGATAAGAGGATTTTAGTTAACTCTGCAACTCTGTGCTGTGCAAGGATGAGCAAAAAAAGTCAATGCTGTGTGCAAGCTCATTATTTGCTCTTGACATAGGATCATACAATCGTAGAATAATTCATCTTGAATGGGACCTCTGGAGTTCATCTAGTTCAACTCCCTGCTCAAAGCAGTGCTGTCGACAAAGAGCAGGTTGCTTCAGGCCTTGTCTGGTTGAGCTGTCTCTTGAAGGCTTTAAAATGGAGTTGAAAGCTGTGTCTGAGATTTAGCTAAGTCCAAATTTAGCATATTTGGAGCTAAGTGTCCCAAACTTTGGAAAGTTACAGTTTTAAGCAGTCTGAAGCATGCTTTTCCTTGATTAATTGGAAGTTGTGGTTCCTTTCCATTTTTGGTGTCATGATTTTGGTTCTCCAGTTGTGCAACAGTCTTCAATGTGCACAATATAGAGATTTTTGGAAGATAAAAGGCAAGTAGACAAGTATGGTGTCCTTCAGCACACAGATTTTTCTCTTAGTAGAAATATTTTAAAAGTAGTATTTCCTTGTCATTAACAAAAATCAAAAAGGCTGATAAACCACTTTAAATTTGAAAGGTTCTTAGTATCTTGCTGGGATAATGACTTATTTATTTAAAGGTTAAAGTACTTGTAGAGGCCAGTGTTCATAGAGATGCAATGTAATCAGATTTATTTCTATGTTTTTAGCAGCATGAAGTTCTTCCCTTACAAAACCTGGCTCTGGTGCCTTACTTGTCCTCTAAATGAATTGAATGTATTCACTCAGTGAATCAAGGCTGATGGAATGAAGATAGCTGATGTAAACCGTTATCTATCTTAATCCATTCCTGTGGTATCAGTGTTTCTTAGCCTGTGAAGACAGTCTTTGAAGAAATCCCAGCATTATTATTTGCACTGCTTGGTGTCTGCAGGTCCCAGATAAAACATACTTTATAGAGGAGTCTTAAACATAGAGAAAACTTCCTGGAGAAGCTTATACTCTTAAGTAGGCAAGAAAGAGGAAGAGAGAATGTAAAAAAGTTAATAAGATAAATGAAAATACCTGTGCTATTGTACTTTCCAGATGTGTCTTCTAAATGTCATCTGTGTTTTTCTTAAGTACTCAAAAATATACTGACATTTGTTAAGGGAATAAAATTACAGAAACTAAATGGTTATATTAGTTATGGGATACTTTTCACCTGCTAATGCAAATAATTAAATTCAGCTGACACTGATGGCCCTGTGTAAGGTGTAGATAAAAGCACAACATCAGCAAATGTGCTTCTCAGTGTCCAAAAGACTCCAGAGGACGTAAGACTGGAGGGTAAAACAAGATGAAAGAATGTGCAGCAGCTCAGCTCTTCCTTTTGTACAGAGAGTGTAGTCACAGCATCCTTTACAAGACTTGGCATAAATGTCTGCCATCCTAGTTCAGTTTTTTTCCTCCAGGCAGAAGCCTGTCCACCTACACTGGGGAATGTCAAACTACGTTAAGATGTCATTGGAGTCAGTATAAATAGCATTACTTTGACAACAGGATTGCATCCGTATCTCTGTAAATATTCGCCTTTATACTCATAGCTTATGAAGTATCGTGCTGCCATTTGAAGTTAAATTTCCAAACACTTTTCTTATTTAGTCTTTTAAGTGTGTGTTAAGATTGTGTATGCAAAGATCATGGTGTTATAGTTGTCCTCAGAGTCACCTTTTCTGTCAAAGTCATAATCCATACCAAAAGTACATATGTAGTACTTCTGTTGAGCGCAAGATGAATCTCCCACTCGAAAAAAAAAATATGGGATTAAAAAAAATCTTTGTTTTTCTTATTATAGTGATGTGGAATTAAGAAACTTTAGAGGCATTGTTTTCATAGAGAAAAAATGAACCTTTATTCACGTTTTGTATCAGCTAGAGCAATCCCTGGGGTTACTTTATGATCTTATATTGATCCCACTGTGGCATCTACAGAATCTGTGCCTGTTCCTGACACCCAGGCAGTGGGACTGCATATTGCTGTAGCTTCTTCTGACAATTGAGATATTGTCTAACCCCTGGTTTTTCACATATGCCAGTGTGACCCCCCCTTTTGGCTACAGGAGTAAGGAATATTCTGATACCTCATCTCCTTGAAGTGTCAGGCCTCACAAATTCAAGTCCACATAACCCTTGAGTGCATCTGTACATTGATACTGTATGTTTTTAGACATGCTTTTCTGTGAAGCTGACTATCAGACACATGGTAGTGATTTGTGTGTGTGTGCATCTGTTCTTAAGTTACTACTTTCGCGGTTTATGGCAGCTTTTCATGGGATTTTACAGTATACTTTCCAGATCTGCCCACCTTCTGAGAGATTGATAAGTAGGGTCCTTTAAGTTTTGGATTTCTGAACTAGATTGGTATTACAGAGTAATAGAATGGTTTGGGTTGGAAGGGACCTTAAAGATCATCTAGTTCAGTCCTCCCTCCCATGGGCAAGGACACCTTCCACTAGACCAGGTTGCTTAATATGCCACATGTTTAATTCCACTCTCTCATTTCAGAATCTGTCAGGACCTGCAGCAAGACAATTCCACAAAAAGAGGCACCTTCAGAATAAAAATGAACATTGAGAAAGCTTACAGTACCTTTAACATCAGCAATGGAACAAATCTAGCTATTGGCTTTACCTCGTCCACAGTAGCTGTCCTTCTATTTGGGACAAACTTTGTGCCTGTTAAGAAATTTGATACTGGTGATGGTAAACTTATTTATATTCTTTTATTGGGTTTGGTATTTTTGCTAATAGGAATCATATTTTGCTAGCAAAATGAGAGTTTCTGTAGCTAGATTTATAAATACCACCACAGCCTTAATCATGTTTTAATTTCTTTTGTTATTATTAGGATGTAAAGCAATAATGTATTGGTTTAGGATGTGGCAAATCTTTAAAAGAGCCTTTTTCTGTGTTGTTGTGCACTTAAAGGATGGCATGCATGTCCTGAGCATTTCACAGTGAAAATCAGCATGTCCTTTTTTCTATCCTTGTGGGGATTCTTGAATACAGTGTTATTGTAAAAGTTGTTGAACTTCAGAATATTGCCTTTCCATTGGGGACCTAACATAAAATCCATCAAAAATTGAAATTTCAATTTCATCTGATGAGTCAGTGAGAGGAAACAATCACTTCTATTTCCTATATATATATATATAACCTCTCTCGTCATTGTGCCAATATAGTCCTGACAAGACAAGGCTAGACTTGAAAGTAAAAGTCTTTGCTCAGCTGGCGTAAAGTCAGCTGGTCTGCCTTGCTGACCCTTAGAGAATCTACAAAAGTATGAAAGATCTGTCCGAAGTTTTTATCATCCTTAGTGTCCTGGATTGGTGGAAGAGTCTGAGCCCTGAGCTTTGGAGGAGTTTTGTCCTGTGCAATCATCTGTGTTATTTGCTACTAGGGTGGTAGAAGTTTGCAGTAACTGAACATCCTCCTTGTCAGAAAGCTGTCAAAATTTTCATGTGTTTGAGAATCAGAGCTTGTTTAAACTATCCAGCGCATTGTCTTTTGCAGCTGTTTATAAAGACTGCATGGTAAGGAAAAGGTTGACAGAATTATAACATCCCACCCTAAAATGTATCTGTTGAATATGTTGTAACATGGTTCCCTGAAATTCACAGAGGAGATGGGCACTTTTAACTTTTTTCTGTTATATTTTATCTAAAACATAGTATGTTAAGAGATTCACACATGCAGTATTCTACAAGTTCTCTTTTGTATGCATTTCATTTTTCCACAGGCATGTTCTTTCAGTGGATCCTCTGTGCCTCTATATGGATAGTTTCTTTGGTGATCAATTTAATCCAGAATTGCCCTCGGTTTTGGCCTTTGGCTATGGTTGGGGGTTTTGTGTGGGCTACAGGTAAGGATAAAGAAGTTCTGTTTCTTGAAACACAAAGTAATCCTAACTCTTCATAAAAAAACAGCGATAAAAATTTGTCTATATATAAGGTAGTAGCTATTTAGTAGCTCTTTGGCTTTTTAAAATTTTTCTGTTATTGGAGCTGTAACCCTATAGAAAACATTATTTTGTTATGCTTATTTTATAGGAGCAAATTCACACAAAAATAACTTTTAAAATGGTATTGAGGAAAAGACCATGTTTAATGAATTTATTTTTAAAAAACACTATTTCCTACCGCCTTTGGTTGCCTAAATTTCTTTGCCTTCTGAACAGTCACAGAATCTAAAGCAAACATATACAAGATTACAGTCTAGTTTTTCACTGATTTGAATTTTGCGTTTTCTGTTTCAGGCAATGTTACAGTTGTCCCTATTGTTAAAACTATTGGCTTAGCTCTTGGTCTTTTGGTATGGGCTTCTTTTAATTTGCTGACAGGTTGGGCAAGTTCAAGGTAAGTTAGTTTAAGTCTTAAGTCATGCATAATTAATATTGCCAGTTCATCATTAATGACCGCAGTGAAAACTATCACCAATAAAGAGGATTTATCATACATACAAGATCTTTTTCCATCTCAATGGAAAGTACACAGGTTAATTATTTTATCTTTTTGTGTTTCCTCTGTCTCCTTAGGAAGATGAATGCCCAGTGGTGTTCACTTACATGACTGAGGAAATAAATATTTGTTAAATGCAAAACTAGTATACTGCTTGTATTTTTTCTTCTGCAACACAGGCCGATAAAATAATTTAAATCAACTTCAATTTTTAAATAGATTTTAAAAAGTCTCAGTGTAACTTACATTGAATTTAAAGATTATTTTTTTAAAGTAGGTGTAGTTTTTTATAAGCAAACTGAAGCACTGATCCAATATTGAAAATATAAACTTAAGCAGAATTGTTTACATGAGTAGAGATTTCCAAGACTGGGTTATAATTTAAAAGTTTGTATGCAGTCAGGGCAACTAAGTGTAACTGATTAAATGTTCCAGGTTTGGTTGGTTTGGAATTGACCCAGAAGAGGTATCAAGACCAATCTTAAATTATATTGGAGCTGGGCTTTCACTATTAAGGTAAAAATCTATTCTTATAATAAATATCTGTAAAGTAAAGTATGTATTTAATAGCCATGGGGACATTTTAACTAGCAGGTAAATGTTTTGAAGTATTTTTTTGTAAATTGATTTACTGCAGAATTTATGAGCTATCTGTATGTAGCTGGTCAGAATAGAAACAGGCATAATACCCAGAACAGTGGTGAAATGGTTATTCATAAACACAGAAATATATTTTTAAGCTGGTAGGCATGTTCAAGGCAGTGATGTGCTGATTATCTCCCCAGCAAGGCAGTTCAAGTGGTTCACTTCCCCAAATCTTGTAAAAGGAAAAACTGACTAGAAGAATCTTGTTGAGGAAACCTCTCTGAGATTTCTAATCTGACTTCACTCAGTCAGGGGTACAAATCCTTCCCTCTGAACTGTAGAATATGCCACAGAACCCCTTCCTGGTTCCTTAAGGGTCTGTGAAAAGCCAGAGGCTTTGCATTACTTCTTGTCCTTAATAGCTCCCTGTCTTGTAACTGTTAAACCACACTTACAGCAACTCCCAAACAAAGGCTTCCTTTAGGAAGATCCTTTAGGATCTTCAGAAAGGCCTTCTACTCTTATTTTCTGTTTATATTATTTGTATGAGTGCACATCTTGGTCCAAACACATAGGAAAGATGGTCTTTGTTACATAGCAGTGTTCTTGCTTTCCAACTGGGTGGCTAGGAAGGTCTTTCCAGGAACATAAGGGTAGTCCTAAATTCCAGGCTTGCCATAAACATGCTAAGCAGTAGCTGAATGTAATGCCTTTAGGAAAAGAAGGGTGTTAAAAACATGGAGATGATGGAGCCATTCTTGATTGCTAGGAGAGAGCCGGTGCCTTAGATTAATGAATTTTGCTTCCACTCTTCCTCTTTTCTAAGAGCCTGCAGCTTTTTACCCATTACCGTTACATGTAGCATGTGATTTTTGAGGTACTTAGAAAATAGTAGCAGTACTGCTGTTCCTGCCTGGTGAGTTCATTCAGCTCATCACCTGCTTCCTGCGTGTTTCTGAGATATCGTGGAGAAGTGATCAACAGGGAAAAAGATCGTGACCAAACATGTTTTCCTGGCAAGCTGCACAATGCCTGTGTGTGTTGCTCTGCAAAGTTTAAAAGCGTGTATTCATTTTAGCCTCCTGTGTGGAACCTGTGTATGGTTTTCCAGTCCCCATGGAGGAAGCTGACATCCTTTTATACCTACCCTTATTCCTTTAGTAGGAGATGAATCATTCTTCAAATGGAGACATTCTATTCACAGTTATGAGAAGGAATTCCTGTATCATTAAAGTCTCTTTTGTAAAAATAAAAACCAGATCCTGTACCTTCTGATTACACATGTTTACCTGACTTCCTGATGCTGGGGATGCAAGCAGTAAAGTTACCCATTCTTCCTCATTTTATTAACTCAGTGCACTGGAGCACAACCGAGCAATACCTGTTCTCCTTCCACATACGCATGAGGCCGTGTAGGAGCAGTATTTCCTCACTCACATAGGACAGAAGATTAAAAACTTTTTTCCTTGAGCTCAGAGCCAACTCTGTGCAGGTTTACGGTGTTCCATACGGAATTTTCACGCAGATGTTCCATTGTATGTGTGGTTTAGTACAAAAAGACACTGTTAACTAAAAGAACATTGTAACTACACACTGTAAAAAGGAGACATTTCAATCCCGTTATATAGAAGAGATCTGTGAAGTGATGGAAAGACTAATTTATTTACTTGCTTTCACTTAAGTTGTTTGTTATGACTACTAAAAGCAATTGCATTTTTAAAATATATTGAATTGTCTCTAAGGCAATAGTGAAAACAAAGTAATATGCCTCCAAATTCAGATTTTGTTTCTGGACACTACTTGTTCTGTCCTTAGGAGCTGACCTGGTATTTATTGGTCTATTTTTCTCTTCTAAGTGCTGTCATATTTCTTTTTATAAAAACTGAAGTCCAGAGTTCTTCAACTTCATTAGAAAGCACGCCGTTACTGAGAGAAAGTGTAAGTACTTTATAGTTGTTATTTTACAGCAGTGAAAGTACATATCCATTTAAAAACAAAAAAGAAAAAGCTTAATGTTAACCAGATTTGCTAGGGTTTATGGTAGACTACATAAAACTACATAATTATGCGTTGATTCCAACCCTAACTATTTTATGATTGTATATAATTTGAAAATCTTGTATATACAATCAAGTGTGATCAACAGAAAAGGTTTTGTCAAGTGTTTTTTTCTCTATTGTGAGCTGTAAATGGCATAGAATTCCCTTTTCATTATGACAGAGAGTATATAAAAGAGTGTATTACTTTCCTATCTGAGAAGACGAAGCAATTTTAATTAAATCATTTATCAAATTTAAGAAAGGACAAGTTCTGAAAGTCAGATCTACCCACATACGGATTAAAATAAAATGTTAGTGAGTGCTTTGTTATGTAGTAAACCCAAAGTACATATCCAAACTCACACACTTCAAGGTAAGTAGATCTAATAATCAGTTTGTTTTATTTAAAAAAATAATTCTCCTTTCTTCAGAGTGCTTCTGTCAATTCCTTTTGTTTCTCTTTCTGTTTTCTTTGTATTAGAGCAAAACTGTTCTGCTTAATACAATGTTTGAGATTATTTATTTTAATTAAACTAAACTTGTGTGAAAACTCTTGGGTTTTTGCAGTCCATTAATGTTTCTGAAGATATCTCTGATGATTCATGGGTGAACAGACTTTCTCCAGCAAAAAAGAGACTCATGTAAGTTATTAACAGTTCTCTCACAGGTACAGGACAAGTAGCCAGAGAAGGTAATTGAACACAGTGTTAGGAGCAGAATTTTCATCCTGTGGTTTTTCTAGCACAGTCATGCACTGATAAATGTCAGGTTTTATGGTACTAGTATAGTGTGCATATGTATATATGAATAACTGCACAACTAATTAGGTTGTTTCCTTTGTAGTCTTGAGTGTGCTTTACCTTACCAATTAAGTATTAGTTACTACTATAAAAGAGCAAACGACCTCCTAGCAGCCTTCCAATATGTGAAGGGGGCCTACAAGGATGTTGAGGAGGGACTCTTCATTAGGGACTCTAGTGGTAGGACAAGGAGTAGTGGCTTTAAACTTAAACAGGGGAAGTTTAGATTAGATACAAGGAAGAAGTTCTTTATAGTGAGGGTGGTGAGGCACTGGAATAGGTTGCCCAAGGAAGTTGTGAATTCTCCAACCCTGGCGGTGTTCACGGCCAGGTTGGACAGAGCCTTGGGCGACATAGCTTAGCGTGTGGTGTCCCTGCTCATGGCAGGGGGGTTGGAACTAGATGATCTTAAGGTCCTTTCCAACCGTAACTATTCTATGATTCTATGAAAGTAAATATCAATAGCAACTAAGTAATTACAGAGCTGCTTTTTATCACCTGGTTGATTAGCATTCCAGCACAGAAGGAGTCTATGCAAATACCATGCTTCCAGGTGTGGTTTCCAAGTGAATACATCTGGAGAAGGCATGGCAGTGTGGTAAGGAGACACAAGTGTGCTCCAGGGTAGAAGCAGCAGCTAGCAAGAGGCCAGCATGGGGAATGGAAACAGCCAAGAACACAATGATTTGGGGATTAAAGAGGCAATGAACCTCAGGAGAGTTATAAAGAATATATAGGCTGCAACAGTGAAGCTGGGGATGGGAGCATTTTAATTATTTTGTTTGTTTTCTCCTAGCTTTGCTTTCAGGAAATCCTAGTTAGTTGATTAATCATTAATCTATACTGCTAACTTTTGGGGCAGGAATTGTCTGTGTTACTTGGCCACAAAGCGTAGGAAAACTAAATTACTGTGTTGAACCATTTCTGCACTAGAAAATGAAAATGTGCTAAAATGTATTATTTTTTATGGTGTTGCTAGCAATTTTCATCTCATACAGTCTTTAACTGCAATACTGGACTTGTCTTAAATGTATTATTGACTTCTCTAATTAACACTGGACTACTTTCTCCAATTTTTGCTGTTTTTAAAGAGGATGTAGCCTAGCTGTAGTAGCTGGAATACTCTACGGTTCCAGTTTTGTACCAGTACTTTACATCAAGGACCATGGAAGAAGAAATGAAACTGTATACGCAGGAGCAAGTCAATTTGGTAAAGGCTAATAGATCACTTCTACTTAATGTCATCAGTCTATTGTGTTCTCCTGCTTTTTTTAAAGGCATAGAGTGAAATTCTTGATAAGTTTGAAAATATGCTGTGACAATGTACCAGTTTTGCACAATGTTATATGTTGTCATAATCACAGTACTAGCACTCCCTTTTTCTGAGAGGTGTATTGCACTGTTAAAAGAACAGTGAGAAACAGCCCAGAGGATACCATGCTTAACTCATAGCTATGTTCCAGAAGGTATTAAATACCAGTACTCTCAAAATACAAAGTTAATATGTCTGGAACGTGAGGTAGGTAAGGGCAGAAGCTTACTAATTGCCAAATTAGTACGTCAGTAAAGGAAGAGAAGAAGGCTGATCATAACTGATGCATAGAAGAGATATACAACAATATAAGTAGTTAAAACCTTGTAGGTTTTGAAAAGAAACCTTTTTACATAACCTTAATTGCCAATTTCAAACATTTCTGCAGAAATGTTTTTCTTAAGATTTAGTGTATAGTCTTATCAGGTAATAACAGCTGCAGTTTAAGAGCAACATTTTGCTGAGACTGCGTAATACTGCCATTAAGAAATTGATTGTTATGTCACATACAATTTCTATTGAATACTGCAGCCTGTATATACCCCAGGTAGACATAACGGATGTTAACATTACTATAGCTGTCTAGCCTGCTGAGAATTTACAACTGCAGGGAGACAGCGATCACCTTGCTACATAGGGTCATAGAATGGTTTGGGTTGGAAGGGACCTTAAGGATCATCTAGTTCCAACCCCCTGCCATGGGCAGGGACGCCTTCCATTAGACCAGGTTGCTCAGAAACACTCTCTATAATGCATGCGAAGTCCATAAAGGATTATTATTAATGATTACAGTGATCAAAATTGTGATACATTCTTCAAGATAACAAAAGGACAAAACTGCCATGTTTAACTTCCACAGTATGTGCAGTTGTCTTGCCCTTATATACAGAGAAAAGAAACAAGGCTATATACAGGAATACAGATGCAGATGGTCATGAGAGGATATAATTATGTAAAACCCTCACACCAGTTTTGCAGCATCACCTGAGGATTTTCTTAAGGTTTTCATAAATTTTTCAGTACTTTGACTAACAAAGTTCCAAAAATAACAACTCACAGAAATGCATAAAAGCCTGTAATAAATGCTAGGGTTAACACAGCAGTTAATTCATGTTTTATGTATATGTGATTGACCAAATCCATCCAGTCAGACTGGCAGCTGTGTTGGTTACAATCACAATTGAATTTGAGTTGTTAGAAGTAGCACCTTATTTGTTTTTTATCTATGTGAATGCTGTCAGTGAAATTAGTTCAAATTAACTGATGGTTTAGACTAATATAATTTCATGATTTTTTCTTTCAGATTTGGATTATGTTTTTGCACACTTCAGTGGAATATTTCTTACAAGTACTGTCTACTTTTTGATCTACTGTGCAGTCAGGAAAAATAAACCTAATATTTATCCCCAAGCCATATTGCCAGGTATGACTGTTTTTCAAATTATAAATTAAGTTCAGTTACTTCTGGCTGTTTTCAGTGATTAGTTTAAGCTATGTGTTGGAATTGTAGTTCACCTTTCAAGTCTCTCTGTTTGACTTCTTGTCTCTTTTGAAAGATCGCTCCTATTTGGTTAATAAATTAAAGCTAGGAAACAACTACAAATTTTGTTCTAATCTGAAACTGGAGCAAAATGGCATTGCAGATTTTCAAAAGCTGACTGCCAGAGTGGAGAGCACATTGCCCAGAAAATTGTGAACTTTAATTAATTTGCTACTTCAGTTGGTGTAGCTGATTTTATCCCTTGAGCTTTGGTTGATATTATCAGAGCCAGCTTGTTAAAGTAGCTGAAAAAAATACATACATGCAGTTTCTGTACTATGCTATAAATATAAATGTTCCACAAATTGCTGTTTGTACCTTGCTGTGCATGTTTTTCATTGGGATTTATTTTTCTAGGGTTTGTTTCTGGTGTGCTTTGGGCAATAGCCAATTGCTGCTGGTTCATAGCCAATCACTATCTCAGTGCTGTGGTCAGCTTTCCAATAATTACTGCAGTAAGTATACAAAGAATAAAATCTGTGACTAGAATTAAAAGTGAAGAGTGTTTTTTTCCATCCCATTTGTGGAATTAAGTTGAAATTATGACACGTCTAGAGCATTTTAATCAAGAGTATACATTGTCTGTTCTGCTTTTCTTTGCCAGCCTTTGGTTTTTTAGGAACATACGTGACTGTGACAAGCACCATCTTGGTCAGTACCAAGCATTAAAAAAAATCAGAAGAATTGAAAGTGTGAGTCTTTAGGTTATGTAAAAGTCAAAGCTGCAAAGCCAGAACTACATCAATTTTAAATAGTAAACTGAAGTGATTACATAAAGAAACATTTTTTACTTTCATCCCAAGAAGTACATTTTGTTCTGGATGTTTTCATGCATGAATTTTATCCTCTAGCAATCATTTTGCTTAATTAAGTCAGGTGTTTTTTCTTTTTACAGTTCTTGAACAAAGAGATTATGTATTGCTGAAAATAATGTTCTTATGCAAATGTAGGAAAAATAGGTTGGCCCACTTTGTCTGTTTTAATCATATGTTTCATACTGTACCTTTAAAGCACTGTTTATTTCCACTGTTTATTTGTCTTTACTCTCTTGCCAGTCTACTAGATGGTGATGCAAAGGTGGATAACTTCTGGTAAATGAGAGTTCATAAATATCAAAAGCAAAGTTCTACTCATCAGTGGTATTTTGGAAGCAAACTAATGAAACATTAATAGGGATTAAGCTTTGCCTCAAGATGCAGTAAATCAGAATAAACTGCAGTATGCAATATAAAAAAGAGACTTGGGATCATTCTAATTAGAAATTGAAGGATTTATGGAAAGCAGCTTAAGTAACTTGGTTATCAGCATGTCTAGAGGGCAAGAATATAAAATCACAAAATGAAAATTTAAGGACAGCACTGATGAGAAACTGCCTGTCTGGACCACAGGTTCAGAACCACTGCTTTCCTTCATCCTAGAGAAAATTTCAGACAACTATTCATCATATGCCTTTAACAGTCTGTTTTCATTTTAAAAATGCATTCCTCTTGCAACGTACATTATTTAGAAAGTAAAGTGACACCTTAGCTATTATTCAAGTAATAGTTGGCAATTTCACTAGGAAACAGCACCCACAAATACATTCAGCATGAGACAGTTTCCTGCTGTCCTAAATCTGTGTCCTATCAGCTGTACTGAAGACGGAGAGATCACTGTCCAAACATCTGTCAAGTGGTTCTGAGAACAGCTCTAACGGGAAGCATTAACAGAGCCAGTTTTTGCTTCATATTCAGATGATGTTTTCTCATCAGTCATGAAAATTCCAGTCATTGCTCCCACAGGGAAAAAACTATATTACCAGGAGTGCTTGGAAATTATCGTTGTGTATCGCTGTTTGCTGTTAGCTGAGAAATCTGTACGACAATATCACAGATAATCAGTAGTTTTCCTGACCCATCTATCTGGCTGGCTTTGTGCTTTGTCCAGATGCCTGCTATACAGGAAACACATTTATGTTTCAGTCTCCTGATATCATACTGTGTTATAGAATCAAACTTTGTCCAGCTAGTTACTCATGCTAATAAAGGAAATGTTAGGAGTATACATGGTAGCTGCAAGTAAACCTGAATGGTCCTCTGAAATGTGGTAACATTGTCGACTCTAGTTTGAACTAAAGTGAGGCATATTTGGAGCCTACTAAAAGAATGTAATGCAGACTCTACAGCATAATTTAGAAAAAAATTGTGCTTTCTTTTGGGGGGGGGGGATTAAATAAATAAAATCTCTTGCTTCTTTAGCCCTTCTCGAAGATTTTACTGTGTCTTACTTCGTAACGATTTCAGTGATATTTATGCTTTTGCCATGAGCACCATAATTATATGGAATGTAAAGGCCCGAATTTGTTATCCGGACACAGTTCAACCACCCTGAGAACAATAATGAGAAGGTGGTGCATTTCATGATGTTTTAATGTACAAATGAATCTTATTCTTTAGGGTCCCGGCCTTGTTGCTTCAATGTGGGGAGTCCTTGTATTTAAAGAAATCAAGGTAATCCTATTAGGTCTCTTACTTAGTCTTTCTTTTCTCCAGCTCTAGGAACAGCATGGCTTGGTATACACCTGTATCTGTTAGATTTCTCCTCCTTACAAGTGTTGCAATATGAAGCTGAAAGTTGGATCATGCAATATTAAGGTTTCCAAGAAAGCTGAAAAACTGAACAATCTTTACAGGAATGAAAATTTGAATTTCATAACTGTATGAGCTGCAGTGAGAGTAAATGAAGACTCTATTAGGGCCAGGAGGCAGGATGCCAAGCACAGCCTGAAAACAGTCTTTATTTGAGCCAGTTTCTTCAGTGGGACAGGGGAGTGAGCAGTTGTCCTAGTAATCACATAGACAAGATTAGACTTTTAGAGTCAGGTTCACCAAAAGACTAAAAGATGAGATGGAGGTTAGCTGGCATTGCAAATTACAGTATAATGTAGAGATTCTAAACTGATACAGCAGTGAGTGCCTAGAACAGGCTAATTTACTGGATGTCATATACATAGCAGATGTTATTTTTCTAGTGGCATAGGAAGCACTGAATGCTAGCAGAGTAATCCTCAGGTTCCCTTAGCTAATCTGTCCAGGATCCACTGGTACCTAACTTGCCATTAGAGATCATCTTTCCCAATATTTTTGGAGACACTGTAAAATATGTTAGGCATCCCTTGATCATGAACTAGAAGGTTTCTCTCACTCCCCCACTGCAGATTACTGTTGCACCACAATAAAAGACCATCATGTTCATTATGTAAATGTCTGTGATGCGCTATATCTTTCATCCTTTTCATGTATTCTTAGAATAGTCTCTGCATAATTGTTTACTGCTTAAAAATAATCTGAAAATAGACTAAGGCTTTTAAAAATACTTTTAAAAATTGCTGAATTAATTTTACTATGTGTATGGCATCATAGATTACTTGTATTAAACTGTTTTGAACAGCAAATATGTTACAAACTTATGAAATGAACTGGTGTAAGATTTGCCATCTCATGTAATAGATTTATTAATTTTGTCATAAAATGAAACCCTGGTACTTTTTTTTACTTGGTTTTTTTGTGAAGCGGTACCTATTATGACAGCGTGATATTTTTCTTTTTCTCTCCCTTTGCCTATCCAGGGACTGAAAAACTATGTGTTACTCTCAGTAGCGTTTTGCATCATTATGGCTGGATCACTGTCTACGGCTTTTTCTAAAATTTGAAAGGATCTTCTAGACCAGTAGATGGTGCTGCTGTTTAATATAAAGACAATATTGGTATATATGTAGCAATACATAATGATTTTCAAAATGAATGTGCAACATTTACCCTAACTTACTTCAGGCAAGTGAAAAAGAAAACCTTCACTCCCATTTGGCATGAAAAGCTGGAAATGTTTGTTTCTGCATTTCTTGGACCAGTAACAATATCAAAGGATTTTAATAAATAAAGCTAAATGATTTTGTAGTTATTAACTTTTTTTTCTGGTTCAGCTACCATGTCATCATAAATTGCAGCTCACTGTTGTTACAGTGGATAAATGGATTTTAATTCTTAGTCTGTAATTATGTATTTGCAGGCTGATTTGTTTTATTATAATGTCTGTCTTATTGACTTGAATTTAAAATATGTCTTGGAATATTCTTTATGGAACTGATACACATGAAGATATGAAGCATTTTTTAATTTAGAACCATTATTCTTTAAAGTCATCAGTTTACATAAAGATGTTACTTCCAATCACTTCAGAATTTTGAAGGAAATATAAATAAATAAGGTGCTGTAAAATAAATTACTTGTGTTCGCTGCTAAACTGTTTTGCTGCAAGAAAATATGTAGAAATCAGGACTGGGATGCAAAGTTTGGGTTTATTTTGGTTGCAACTAAACATTACATTTCTGTGTTGAAGATGAATTAAGTATGTGGTCCAAGTAACTTTAGGCATTTTGTGAATGCTTACTTTTCTTTTTTATGCAGCGTATTCAAATCTTAAAAATTATGTATGGCAATATCTATTATATCAAAGCATCATGCTAAAACTACCCAGTCTGCCTTATAAAGGAAATACTCTATGTTGCCTACACTGTTCCATGACAACTGCTGTTTAGTTTCTTGCTCATGGCACCTAAGATCATATATGCAAAGCATGTTGTCTGAATCTCCCCACAGTCTTTCCTTCAGTATATCAGACAACCCCAGCTCCTGCAATCTTCCCTTGCCTGTAACGTGCTCATCATTTTTCTTGCTCTTTCCTGAATTCTCACTAAGTATCTGTCTAGAACTACTAGACATGGCAGTTAGACTTCAGTCTTAGAAAAAGAAACCAACAGCAGCAGCAACAAGATTTTTCTTTTTTCATCCAATTTGCAGGCTCTGTTCATGGTTACACATCACAGTATGATGCTTCTTGCCATCACAGCTTGATAGTGTTAACGTGTTCAGATTGCAATCATAATTTCTCCTTTCTCCCTTACTCCCTTCCTTGTCTACTATTTATCAGATCTAATCTCAGAACTGTTACTTAGCATGCTTTTTCCCACTCCGTATTTATTCCTACCAAGTGTCAGAATTTGGTGTCTGGTAGGTTTTTTCCCTCCCTTAAGGCATTTCTCTAGTTTTGCTCTGTATGTTAACCCTGTCCTCCAGCAAGTTGGCAGCATTTTCCAGCCAGATGTCATCTGCAAATTTGGTAAACTTACTCTCTAATTATTGTAAATAATATATGAAAGTGCTGCATGATACTGGCCTTTTCTTAATGTAATTCTTCTTTTTGCTCTGACAGGGAACAATTGATTACTCCTTTGAGGACAATTTTCCTCTGTCTTTCAGTGGTTTTATTTACACTGCATTCTCCCAGCTTTTATCTAACAGTTGTTCAAGTCAAGATACATGACATGTACTATCTTAATCCCTGATACTGGGAAGAAAACTCATTATTTTTCTTTCCAGTCCTTGACTGTTACTTACCTAGCTCTTATTCTATTGACTCAAAGATGCATAATTTGTTCCCATGTTTGTGAAATAATTTGAGTTAAATTGGATATTTATACTTTCCCTGGATCTGTTTCCCTTCTTAAAGATCACAAGAACTTCTCTATTCCTGCAATATACCCCATGCCAGAAAATTGCTGATAAGCAAAGAATTGACAAAACCAAAATACAGTGTCCTCAGTCTCCTCTACTCTACAGGTAGGCTGTAATATGTCAGTTCTTTCCCAGTCAGTTCTTATTCCTGTATCACTGATCACAGTTTGTGAATACTGGCCGTGATCTGTGTAAGACTGAAGGAACCATAACTCACTAGTTTGCTAAAGTAATTACAATGCAATACAGTATTTATAAAGAAGTGACACAGGTCTCTGAGGCCCCAGAGACCCTCAGAGCACCTTCAAGGGAGAACAGGAATAAGCAAAACCAAAGAGAAGATACAAGAATGCATGGCACAAGTATTAACTGAGCTAAGCATCAGAAAAACAAAGACTAATTGTCTAGTAGAGCAAAGCCCCGTGAGGAAAATGAAGCAGGGGAGCAGACAAAGCTAAGTGAAGATGTTACAAAGAGGGGTGCATCACAGAGCAGAAAGAGGTACAGTATCTCTTAGTTGTCTTCTGCAGCTGGGCAAGCCACAGTACTTACTGAAGAGTCAGTGCAGAGAGGCTGTAATGCAGTTGCTGGTTGCTCTGCAACAACTCTGGCTGGTAATCTGCATCTCCAGCTGTGTGAGGAATAAAGCAGGATTGCTCAGACCGAAACACAGTGGGACCTAGTTTATCCCTTACTTTGGTCAGCTGCTTCCCATCCTACGCTACAGTGAAGTGCATTAGGCCCTGTCTACTACTGTAGTACCTTGAAGCTCTGAGTTTTTTGGTGCTGTGAGTATCCTGAGTGAATGCTTCTTGAGTTTTTCAGAATTCTAGCCCACAGCTTACAGTGATGGGACAAGCTGGCTACTAGTGCTAAAGTGGAAATGTTATGACAGGTTAGCAAGTGGTAGAAAAATTTGTCCCGGCAGTACCTGGTTTTAATTGCTTCAGTTCACATTCTGTCTTGCTCGCTGCATTTGTCATGGTTTGAGATAAATCTGAAAATGGAGAGTGAAACTCAATCTGCTACATTCATCCCTTATTTGAGGACTGGCTCTGCCTCATGCTGGTTGTGCAAAAAAAGTTAAGCTGACCTATACCTTGACAGCAGAGATACATTTATGTTTCAGGTTTAAACTGTTACCTTTACCTGAAGAGTCTCTTCAGCTATCTTAAGCTTCTACTATCTCTCTTGAGGGGTGCTGTTAAGTTAATGGCTGGTGTGGGCCCAGTGTCCATCTACTGGACATGATTACAGGGAACAGTTGAATCTTCCAGGGTGGGAGCAACTTTACCTTTTCTGGTTTCTGGACAAGGTCCCTGGCTTTCTGAAATAAACCAGAACACTGAACTCCTGACCATAGCAATTGCCATGTAAATGTATGTAGTTTGATGCAGTTCTCCAGCCTATATTGTAAAGATATCAGATGTGCAAACTCAATTGCTGAATGCTAGGACATTAATTAAAATTCTTGTTTGTGAAGGCTCAAGTATGACCTGTATTAAATGCTTTCTTAGCAGCTATCCTATCAGATTTGTCTTGACAACAGCAAAAAAAAAACCCAACAAAAAACAACAAACCCGCCTCTTGGAGCTCTTTTCTGTAAAAAATCCATTGTGGTAATTCATCAGGATATATGGTTTATATGTGTTCCATGTTAAATATATGTTTATTCCAAAATATTTTCTCATTATGTTCATTTGGCATATATTGGATAACTATTCCACTTATTTCTGAGATTCTATTATTCTTGAAGTTTTGAGTTTGAAGTAACGCTGGTACTTCTGTCATGTTAAAATGCTGGATTAACAGATATCTGTTTATAGAGCTGTTTATACAAAACAGTCTGGAAGCAACTGAGTTTAGTTAGAGAAAAATCTACAGCTAATAAATTATCATGGCTCTGTTTATATCAGTGTGTTTTTGTATCAGGGTAAGAACTGACCAGAATATTTCTTTTCTCTTTTCTTTTAGGAGGAGGGGCGGGGGAGGGGGTTAATTCTTATTGTACCTATAACTGAAAGAAAAACAAACGTAGGACAAAGGTGAAAGAATCACGTTTCTTGGAGAAAATTATGCTTTCAAATACTTGTCTGTGCCTGTTTAAAAACCTCTAAAAATATATTTGATCTTGCTTGGGAATTTTTTTCTGGTAATACTTAGAGGCAAACTACCTCTAAAACAGAGATAGCCTGGGAATTTACAAGTAAGATTTTTGTGCAGTGTTGGGAACCAGGGAACTGAGTGTTACCTTTCTTTTAGATATCCCTTACCTGTTTATTATCAGTTCATTTTCTGAGACTCACTCAATTCCCTTCTTCTGGATTTTTATTCCTTCATGTTCTTAGTAAAACCTATTTTTATCTGGAAAAATAGTTGAAATACATTAGTTTGTGTATCTTCAAATGTAAACAGTGAAAACTGGCTTTTTTTAATCCCTATATAAATTTTTATATTTTATCTACAATATAATGTTCTTTTTCAACTGATACTTAAGGTTGATTAAGTGCTTGTTCACCAGTCTGACCTGGTCCGTGAGCTTTCTTGCATCTGCATGAAAATAAAATGACAGCCAAGATGATGCATGCACAATTGGTGTCTTTTTTGTCTTTTTTTTGGTTTCTTACCTTGCTTTCAAATAGAAGACCAAAGTTTAATATGGATTCCATAATTACTGAATGCCTAATGGATTCCATTCTCCTTTAGCTATATATAGTGCTGATAGATAGTGACTATGTATTTTAGCTGATACCTTGAGGTGATGATTCTTACATTTTTAATGGTTAGCACAAAATATTTTATAAAAATCTAAGATATATTTTCTGTTTAATGTAAACACCAAGCAATTCATGTGCCTCTTTTTGCACCAAAGGACCTGTTTGAGAGTCTAACCTGGGAGAGAAAATAAGACTCAAAGGAAACAGGACCTGCATTCGTCCTGCTAGCATCAGTGATTCAGGCAGTTGGACACCACTGTGCATTTTCAGATTGTGTAACTCCTAATGGTCTTAGGTTTTGTATTTCTACAGGTACCAATACACTAATGAAATAAATTACATATGGATATACATTAGTTGTTGCTCATGTCCTAGCATTTACATGCAGTGGATCTTTTAAAAACATTTCTTGCAGAACTGGGAGACAAACCACACAATCCCCAGGGCCAAAGCGGGGAAGGGGTGAGGACAGAGACGGTCTTCACCTCACTAGTTAATGAAATGGGAGAACTGGTGACAGTGATGTTCCTGGGCTCCTTGGTCTGCTGCAGTGAGGGAAATAACTGTGTCCCAGTACTCTGAGCTGCTCTCACTGAGACCGTAGGCAAGC